ATATATATATATATAAATATAAACTATTTCATTTTTCATTATAAAATATGCTAAAATATACACAAAGTGCAACAATGTTAATCAGTACCTTAAATGTATGAAATTGCATAAAGTTTACAAAATAGCATAAGCTCCATTTAAAACAACAAAATTTTAAATGCATAGAGAAACTCTTAATTGTATGTCAACATTTTACAAATTTGTGTTTCCCATAATTACCAATTATTATTAGTATATATCCCTAACCATTGGAACATTACTTCCCTTTAGAATAACTTACATAGATTATCACCAAGTTGCACAATACTAGTAAAAAATTATTTCTTATAGTTTGTTTTTACATTTCCTTATTTATCATTATAGTAGTTGCATTCAAATTAGCTTAATAATGCATTTACTTCCCGTCAGAGTTATGTCACTACAAAGCAGTAACATATTAACCGAAATAGGCACCGCAATTAGAACAACGCCGAGTCTTTAACAACAAGCAGCAAATTATTCCAAATGGAAAGAACAGGATTGCACACAGTAATCCAAGACATGTAAAATCATCTTCCATTACACCCACCTATGTTTTTAAAATCTGATTTTAATCCTTACATTTCAAATTAGATATACAAAATTTATAAATTCAATAAGAAAAATATATGTTATAATTATGAGGCTCGAATAAGTTTCTAAATGTGAAGAAAATTAAAATTAAATCCATTAAAGATTACTTACTCTGCATGCAGGACATCCTCCAACTAAAATTATCTCTGGCATAATTATTGTGGTTGATTGTGTAGAACCATAAGAAGGTACATAGTTGTAATTATTAGTTCCACTAGTGCTAGGATAATACCCTGGAGGTGGAGGCCAAGAGGTAGATTCTCCACATTGTGTCGCATTGTAATCTGAAGGTGATTGCCATGAAAAATTAGCTACATAAGATTTCAATCTTTGATATTACTTTTAAATACATTTTCCTTAATGAACAAGAAACAATTACTTAAGTATACAAGAGCACAGATTAATTACTTCTTTTATGTTGCGTAATCTGCTTTAGATTATTTGCTTTGAAATACGTAAAATAAGCTATGGATAAGGGATATTTTTTGTTATACAAGAGAGTAATAGCAGGAATTACTTCCTAGGTTTAGCATAATAATATTTACTTATGCAACATTAGCAATATATACAATATTGTATATTAGTATTGTATATTACATATATTATATATATTTTATATATATATATTTTTCAATAACTTACTAAAGTTACTATATAATACAAAAAATTACATAATTATAAAAAGAATTAAATGAAATTGAACAACAATTTATTTCTTTAATTTTTATATACGATTTTTGTACAATACGAAACGCCCAGAACTATTGCAAGATATAGATCGAACAAAATAATTCGAATTCTTCAATAGCAACTCAAATTACGTTTAAACGTTAAGACGATGCAGAACGATATTTTGCTCACTTTTTGGTGCGGTGGCCGCCGCGTAAGACGGAGGTCTGTCATCTCCTGTTAACGGTTGATTTTCCATCGTTTAATAATTGAATCAATCGCTTTTGTTAACAATTCGCACGATTCAATTAAATAATTAGCATTGAGCACAATGACTTTTTGACAGCTAGCACTGCGCAATGATCCCCAGACCTCGTGACGCAATATCAAAACAAATGGTGCATCACTACTTTCACTTGGGAGGATTCACTAAATCCCATAAGATTAAAATTTTGCTTTTATCTCCCCGATTAGAAATCAGAGCTTTATTGGTTGATGGTTGATGACGTTATTTCATTATATTCGTTTGAACTTGATACAAATCGTTTCGAATTGCATGACTCACGTGCTGCGCCTCATCCCTGCGGTCGTTAGATAATGATATTCCATCGCTTGTCTATTTGTTTTTTTTTTTTTTTGTACGATGCAAGAGTCGTAATTTTTTACGTAATTAATACAAGCAATTCAACGTACGATTCGAAAAGACTTTCCAGGTTGAATTGAAATGGATTGTTGTTCGTCATGCGAGAATCGGGCGTAATCAAATTAGCAATCGCAATAGCAATTTAAATAAACAATTTAAATCTTCATTTTCGTCGTCGGAGTTAATGTAAAAATCAAATTTCTTACTTTTAATCTGGAATTTTTATCTTCCTAAATATTTGCTTAAAAACCATCAAATATTTGTATAGTTATCTTCATTGTTCGATTACGTTGATTGAACTGCATGAAGATATTGCAGTAATTAAGATCAAAGCGAATGAAATAAATATGAAAATAAGATATTTTCAAATACACGCATGAATTTATATAATTTATTAATAATTGAACTGTTTTGCAACAAATAACTTTAGGTTATAATAAGGGTTAGGTTATCAATCCATTTGCGCCTCCTGTAGGCAAATGCATGAATCTACATTTGGTGGATGTATCTTTTTTGGTCATTATAAACTTATTAAACTATGAAAATAATACAACTAAATTTAAAATGATACAATTTCAACTAATATAACCAATATAACTATAATTAATGTCAGTGAAAAAGACGAAATTACGAAATATTACAAAATGAATTGCGCTCGTTCAATTTTCCCGCCATTACGTATACAATATCGTCCATAGTAGACGACGTTTGTAAAATTTTCTTCTTTTTTAAAATTCTCATTTGAAACAAATAAATTTTAGCAATAGTGCATGTTTTGATGTATATTTTCAATGAACAGTATGATAAATTACGATTTTTACAGATTAAGAAATAGAAAAAATTAAGAAATGGAAGAAAAGTTCAAGGCTGGATGCGTACGCTACTGGTCTAGGGATCTTTTAATTCCCTAGATAGAAGAGGGAGGGCGCCACCTGACTCTCCTTCGTCATTTCAGTTTGTCTATTTGTGCAATTTCTCCGCTGTTTCGAAAAGAAGGTTTCTGTCATTTCTCAAGGTTTCATCATCATTCCGTATGATCCCGTGCAGAATGGTGTGAAATGCACTTCTAATTCGAAATTCGTTCCAAGTATCATTGCTCCACCTATCTGTTGTCATTTTGAGTTCGTGATCGATTCGCATTTTTCGTCGACAATACTGCAGAAGTTGCCGCGGACAACTTTTGCCCTTCGGAAGGTGGTGTTGAACGATGCTCGACGAGGAACCGGTACGTAAGTCACGATGGTGAAGATGCGAGATTCTGATCGGACCGCGTGCGCTCCCGTGCCAGCCTAGCAGAGGAATCAGTGGGGCCTGGCGACGATGCGAGATAACTCCAAAGAGATGTTCATTATCAGAGCTTTGGAAAAGATCCTGGCTGACCGGGATGTCAAACGGTCACATCTTTCTCAACTCAGAAAGTCCTGTGAGACTGCACTTGGTAAAGTCCGTCAATCCTTGAAATTGCTCTTCTTATAGAATAAATGTCAATACATACGTGCAATTGAAGAATTCTCTTCAGGTTTATTCGTTGTATTGCATGGCTAGTGATCATTATGACATGTTACTACAAACTAATATAAATGACTTGTACTTGGAACTAGTTTTACTTTCTTGTCCATTGATTTTCTAATGTTATGATATGACCTTGTTTATACAGTGATTGGTAGTAGGTTTGAATACATATTAAGTTCTCTGTATAGCTTTACTTTATGATTTAGTGATTATAAGAAATTGCATTTCTTAGTCTTCTAAGAAGATTCAAATTGGATTAATTCGATGATTCAATATATTGCATCAGATTGAACTTTATTTCGTTGATTATTATTCATTTAGTATGCACAGATTTAAATTATTCTTCATTTATTATAGATAGTTTATGTTTAATTAGCAATACGTAGTTGTTAAAAGTAATATAATTATATTTACTGTTTCATTGTTGCTTAATTTTTTAATTCTGATACTTGATGCGCATATGTATATCACAATGTATATGTAAATATATATGTATGTATAGACAAGATATATTCAGAAAACTATATATAAGACACTTGTACCATCTGTTATATTTTTGTCTATTTTTAATTATTTATTATTATACAAAGTTACTTCACTTTCTTTAATCTTTTTGATGAACATGAAAAATAATATTTTTGAAAAACATGAAAATAAATACATATTAATATATATCAATCCATATATAATCAAATATATATTATTTTCCAGATAACTTGAGAAATGAGATCAAAGAAAGCTCAGGCACTCAAGTGTCAACTGCTTTGCCACAGCCTCGCAGTGATTCGTATGCCATCTCTGCAGAAAAATATTTTCTGCCCTTTGAATTAGCTTGTCAGAGCAAGTCTCCAAGAATTGTGGTCACTGCTCTGGACTGTCTACAAAAGTTGATTGCCTACGGACATCTTACAGGAAATGTACCTGACTCTACAGAGCCAAATAAGTTGCTCATTGTACGCATTGTTGAGACAATATGTGGATGTTTTATGGGGCCACAAACGGATGAGGGAGTCCAGCTACAGATTATAAAAGCTCTTCTCACAGTAATGACAAGTCAACATGTCGAAGTTCACGAGGGTACTGTGTTACTTACTATACGTGCAGTGTACAGCGTTTATCTGGCATCAAGGAACTTGGTTAATCAAACTACAGCTAGAGCTACGCTCACACAGATGATCAATGTTATTTTCGCGCGCATGGAGACACAAGCAGTAAGTCTAATAATTAATATTAATTAATAATTAGTATATTAATTTATATAAAAAAATATAATTTTTCTCCCTTCAGGAAGAAGAGACCGTCCGGATCGAGACAGAACAGTCCGAAACGACTAACGCAAATTCCACTAACTGTACTTCTGGCGCAGAACTCGAAACTGAGACAGTAAATCACGAAGAACCAACTACGGAGGGCAGTCAAGAATCACAATTAATAGTTCGAGGAATTTTGGAAGATGTGGTAAATTCCATTGTTCCTGAGGACTCGACAAACGTAACTACCGT